CTTCTGGCAGACTTCGCTCATCATCATCAATCGCACATGCTGCAGACCGCAGAGTAGTGTTCCTCAGAAAGTTGAGGAGTCTTAGTGAATGACGTCTGCATCGCTGATTCTGATCAAATTTAACTTAAAATATTATCGCTTGTTTGTTTTTGTTCATTTCTGTATATTGTATTGCCAAGAATCTCTATCAGTCCGGCCGCGCTTTCCTCCGTGCATTTCATTGTTTCGAAACAACGGACTGAATGTTTTCCTTTCACTCACTGCTGCTCCATTCCTTACAACTTGAAGACAGTCCTTCTGCGCACGGCTAAAGGTTATTGTAACCCCTGTCCTCCACATGTTTCATCTCTTCTCATCTGATGCCGAGCAAGAATCTCTCCTGTCCGTAGAGCGCTTTCATTGTGCATAATTGTTTCGAAACAACGGACGGTACTTTCCATACTCACCGTATCTCACTCCTCTTAACTCCTATCATTGTTATATTGTTATTAAGTGTTTAGCAAGCTCTTGTTTATGCATTGTCCGGAAAGATCATCTCCTCATTTGACGAGCACTTTCTTCTATTTAATCAGTGTCATTCCTTACGGCAATTTAGGATGCGCACCACTTTACTGCGTACACTTCTCCTGAATCACTGTGTATATTTGAGGCATATCATCCTTTCCACATGTCTTGCTTAATTCTTTGCGATTACGCTTTGTATTTACGACGTGATTTTCCAACCCCGTATTTGTTAGGAACTAGTCTCGAGAGTGTTTGTGTCTATATGCCCAGATTTTCTATTCAAAACGGTAAATTTACGCAGTCAAAACTACGAAATCAATCGCGTTTCTTAGCCAATAAGTCTTTTTTGTGTGGTCCGCATTTTGATTATGTTACTAATAAAACTTCTGGAAAATTCGTGTTTTTGAACACTGAACCAAATGATACCGATGTTTATATAAAGCTTTCCTGGAAAAAGTTATCTCGAAGACTTGCTCATGATTATACATGTGCTCGACTATGACAAAACATATCAGCTTCCCATTCTAATGTGCTGGGTATGGTAGGAAATTCACGCTAATGGACGGATGCTGTCGTTATTATAAATTTGCTTTGCTGGTATACGGTG